GTACTATAGTACAGAAAGGTCATGCCACCCACTGTATTGTTCCTGAACAAATCAAAAGGCTGAACAGAGTGGATTGGTTGTGGCATGAAGCATAAACATTAATTCTTCCATATCAATGGAGTTCATTAGTAAGGGAGAAGTAAGAACGTCAAATGTAGATATTCTAAAATTCCAACTACTGTACTTTTCGTCAACAATGACAGCACCATTGATCGAATATAATATAATATAAATGTTTAGACGATATTTATACGATCAAACAATAGCCAAATGAGTATAACGATAATCAAATAAGTTACCCTTAGTCAAAATTGGATTACTGTAGCGGTCATAAGATAACTCTATACATGGAAGTCTTCCTTGTACGACTATAATGATCGACAATCGGAATCTTTCAACTAGATAGGTATCCTTTTTGTTATTTTTTTTTACTTTTCCCCTATCAGAGAAAAATGAAATTAATGTCCTTTTCAGATTATTATTTATAAAAACATATCTCCGTCCATTACAAAAAATATTCAATAAAGGAGAGAAGCCTATATAAAGTTTCTGAGCTTACAGAGTCTATCGCGTGAATAGCGAGTTCTAGTTCTTAGTTTCTGAAGAAGGCATGAGTGATCAGGAAATTTGGAAAAAAATTTTTTCGTCTTTGGTACAAATAGTCAGTGTCTCTTTCACTGATCACTCCGACGATTTGAATAAAGCCTCATACCACCCTTATGTTAGCTCATCAATAAAACAGCTGTTTTATTGGGATTTTTATAGGAATGTTCCATTATTTGTTGAATAATAAATGATGTTCACGGCTTTGCTGATTCGTCGACCACAATAATGCTCATGAAAAATCTAACATAGCATTACATCCTAATAAAACTAAGTGCATTACATTTGAATAGAATAGTAGTACTAGCTTCACAATATACATTGAATGTTTCTAGGTAGATTATCGAGACAAAACCAACATAAATTATTGTCATATGGGAAAAAAAGTTTTTTCGATACTTGGATTTTGTGAATTTTCATTTGTAGTGAGTGAATTAAAGCGACTTGTATTATGAAAGAGTGAGCCTAATTTCGTCCCAATATTAAAAATAGAGTAGAAAACAGCTTGAAAGATTGTTTTGAGAGCATTTCATCATTATAATCTACTGTACAGCAGAGGTACAATCTACTGTTTCGATCAAAATAACACTGTAGACTTCTTGCTGGAGTAATTTTTAAAATTAATTTCTAGATTAAACTTTGAATCTTTTAGCCACATTCAATTGTCGGAGGAACTGCAACAATATGCAGAGTGAAATCAATAGCAGAAACTAAGCTGATTTTGAAACTGCTTCCTTTTTTTTAAGTTGAGGCATTTAAAGTAGGTATGAATACCCATGAGCGGACGAAGATAAGCAAATGGTATTCTTCACTCCGTAAGAAAGGCTAGAATTGTTACATAAATAGTAGGATATTTTCAAACGGAACATACTCCATTTAGATTAATATGATAGTTGCTGATAGTTTTGACACTGGACAGATGGATTTTTTGTCATACAATTTTTTCATATATCATTTGCTACCTATCAGTTTGCTAATCATCAAATGATTGCTGGTGGTTGTTGGTAAATCTTCTCCTTCTTCCTCTGCTCACCCATGTCGCGTGCCAAAGTTGTTCGCTAGTTATTTATACGAGGGACCTGAAGCTACTTCGACACTTTTGTGGCATTTGTGGGAAGGATTGCCAAGGATTCCGTTGTTGAAAACAACTCATTGTAATCGATTGACTAGTATGATCAAGCTAAACCAAAATAAGGTTATTCTTTGGAAGCAACGACCGATATTCACCCTCTTTACTAAGGTTTCTGTAATATTGTAGCCATACGATAATGCCCATTGAAGCAGTATAGACACTGATGTGATTATGTCTATATAAACAGCGCTATTCAGCCCGTGCAGGCAGATGAGACACGAATAGCTACTAGTGAGCGAATATTTGTTGGTGTTTGGTTTATATTTATTCGTGGTGAGCTAATGTCAGCTATCGGAATAAATTGTGGTCTAAGACCTCGTGTTCGACTTGAGAAAAAAATAAGAAGTCACTGAAGAATGCCAAGGTTAGTATATGGTCGGTATCGGATATTATCACCTAGTCTCCAATCAACCTTGTTGTTAGTATACTATGAAAGATTAGGTCTAGGTGATGCTTCTACTTTTTACAACTGTGCCGTACATTCTACTCCAATATTTGTAGCAGCGAAGAAGTAACTGAGCACATGCTTGATCTGTAGATTAGATACCAAAGTCTAGCGATGTTAAAAATTCTCCTATACTCCAGACTAATGTATCAGCATTTTCTCGTCCTAGTAAAAACGAACGGTTGCTTAGTTTACGACGTAGTATCGAGCCAACGATCCTGCTCATCTGATAATATAACAACATGATCTGAACCTTTATGATGTCAGTATGGCACTTATACAGCACTAGACAGCTACTGTTTCGCCCTTCCAGGCTCATCACTTGTAAGGCGCCTTTCGGCTCAGCCGATCCTTTGCAAGAGATCTTCTACCTATGAAGGAATCGACGCCGAAATTATTCAAATCACCGCATATCGAGTGGAAAAATTCATCGACATTGCTGTGATCACAGTCGCGCGATCATGGCTGGTACAATGAATTCAAATAATAATGTCACTGTAGACTTTAGCAATCAAGGTGAATCGTGGTACAATTTCATATGCCAGCATTTGTTAGCTGAATTTATATTTCGATCATTTGAATCGACTAAGATGATTCAGTTCATTATCTGCCAAAAGTAAATGTTTTGAAAGCGAAGCAGCAGAAAAACCCGGAGCGCACAACTATCTTCTATCGCTGACGACCTTCAAGTTACCAGTACAGCTTGGAAGATTTCAGTTGATTCTGTAACTTATTCTCAGTGTTTGAAAGTCTTCCAATTTAGCTGGGTTAACAAAAAAACCGTTTTCTGACATAGCAGTCATAAATGGTTAAGTACCGAGTGACAGATGGACTAATAAATCAGACACGATCGACCAAAGTAGGAGGATTTCCTTCAAACGGGAAAAAACTCGAACGTGATTTGTAGATTCAGAAAAGAACAGAAAAAAAAGAAAGCGTGAAAAAGTTTGCTGTCGGAAAACTTCTGAAACCTTTTCGGCTTAGAGTGCATTTAATAGCGTAGGGACTGGATTGAGTGACTGGGCCAATCTACCGGTCTGTGCCGGCACTTCTGACCTTCGCACACTTCGATTGTCACCATATTGTTGATGCTCCATTAATCTTCGCCTTAAACCCGTACTTTCATTCAAAATCTCCTTCGTAGAACACATGTTTACTTCTCTTTAGTCATATTAGTATAAAACCTTTAGTACCTTTGCTTACTGTTGTCAAAGGCTTCAAAATCAAATGATTATGATTACGTGCAGCATCTGTAAATTCAAATGTGAAACGAGAAGAAAAAGCAGAGATAAAAGTTATTGCACGCTTACGATGAGAGGCGAACAGATTAACGACGCGGATTATTTGTTCCCAGACATCATGTTAGCTACTAGTTTTCCTCCTAACGATTCAAAGCAACGAGACGTGCGAAGGATGGGTATGGATGTTCGTAGCATGAGCACTTAGAAATGACTAGCTCGCTAAGTGGGTACAAGTTATTGCCTCGTATAACAAACTTTTTAAAAGTCAAAACTGAGTGATTCTCAAACAAATAAGTATGAAAAACTTCACTCAATCCTATGAGACTGGACAAAAGGAAAGGATAGAGTTCTCGGTGTTAATCAATCTTTGAGGGATGCGCCATTCATTCGTCTTTTATTTTTAGCCTCGTTCAAGGCGAATGAATGCATATCTAGCCCTTACGATGACTCGTAGCGGCCTACCGCAGTATCGAATCAGTACTGCTTATCTTCTTAGACAGGTCTGAGACCAGCGTGGTGTCAATTTATTGACCTCGGAGTGATGGGTGGCTAGGGGGATCATGAGTGCGTGATCGAACCATCGACTTTGTGAGCGACGCAGAGCACCTTTAACCACTGCGTCACACGCGCTCCATAAACTGGATAAATTTCAAAAATCGGGCTCAAATGGTCTATAGACAAGTTAAGGAAAGACTTCTAAAAATAATAAGAAGTAAGCTGACGACTTCTGATTGAATTCTCATGCATTAATTCTTTGTGGAATCAATGATATGTAAGAAGCAAAGATATCGAACACATTTTGAAATGTGTCGGCTTTGCTGATGACATAGTGCTAATCACAAAACATCAAATGGGAAAAACAAGCGCTTGCATGTGGAATTATCGAATCTTAAGTGGTTCTTAAAGAAGATATGATTTTTTATAGAGGAAGAAGGATTCGTGTCTATTGTAATCTTCATGCTCAACGAAGTGGAACAAGAGCTACGGAAAGATGCAGATGTAACATATTGAGTACAAGGAGGGAAATATGTTGCATTCCAAGCCTATAAAATGAAAAAAATCAAGAAAAGACACTGAGAAAATCCTAATAGTCCGTGAAACAAAATTCAATTGGATCTCAGTCATGGGACCACATTTTTCTTTCCTTGGCTGTTCAACCCCTATTGGGGTGAGGTGAAAACCAGAAAATACAATGAGCATAAAGGCGTTGTTCATCAAGTTATAGCGGAGATCGTAAATGCTTTTGAAATAGGTGAATGACGAGGTCCAGTCATAAAATCATGGGCACAAATAACATCGTTGGTAACCACAGGTGAGGATTATGAATCACTCAATCATGGGGTATGTATCATCCGACAGAAACTGTGACGTAATAGATTCCTAGCGAGCTGAAGAATGTATGCCGATTCATTGATAAACTTGTTCATAACAACGTGCGAAGAGCTATAACTGCTTTTGTAACTGCAGTAGCAACAAGAACTACTTAAGTATACGACGGAGACGATAGGTTCTGTAGTGACGAAACATCGCAAATAAGAAATCACATATCCTAGAATGTTGAGTGATATGTAAAACTGGGAGCCTCAAGAGGGAGTTGAACCCGCGTTTTCACCCATAACAGGAGCACGTGCTACAGCAACACCACCAAGGTGCTCGCTCTGTTGTGAGTCTTCTGCAGTTTTCTATTTGATGAATAAAGGCGTGTGAATGTCTTCAGCGAATAAAAGTGACAGAAATCGCTCTTCTAGAGCTACTTCAAAATCAAAGTGAGAACCAGCTAAAATCATGAAGGAGGCAATTCCTTGAGTAGTTGTTAAACCCAGATGGAAATTGTCCATAAATGAAATTGTTGAGGCAGCAAAGAAAACGAAAAATCTGCTATTTACGCGACACATGATACGAAGATGGAAGAGCAAGCGCCTCAGCGAGCTTTCGGTAAAGGTGAACTGCGAGTTCATTTCTGATTGCGGTTTTCTGCATATTTCTTGACATTCTTGGATACACAGACAGAGCATTTTAACACCGCTATTCAAGCATTATGATAAAGAATTCTTGTAGATTGATGATATCTAATGCGTCATCCTAACTAGCTTTAATGACGATATGTGCTCAGAGACCAAATTCGCTGCAGTATGCTAACAGTGCTATGCTAACAACTTCGCTACCTTGTATCGCAGAGTGATGGTACAGCAAGGGTATTGATGATATGGTGGTAGCTCTAAAATCCGGTATGAGTGAAGCACGGGCTGAACTCCTGCTTGAGGCTTGAAGCCTTACGTATCACTCAACATTCTTGCAAAAATAAAACACCATTATTTTGCCGCTAAGAGGTCAGTTGAATAAGAAATTGTTGTAGGAAGTAAGAGATCCAAAGCCTGTCGAGGCTCCAAACTTACTTTTGATTTATGAGATTGGAAGCGAGCGGAAGGCCAGCTGTAGCAGTCATATTAGTAAACAATACAGAGCTGGATGTCTGTATTATTCTGGAAAATAGTTTTGGTTCACATATCACCTGAACGCTACAGCTCAAAAATAAGTATCGATTTCGTTTGTTTCTTTGTCCACGGTCTGCCAAGTTGAGAAATCACGGATTTCGCTTGGAATCCAGGAGATTCCTATTCATAAGGAATGTAAGCATGGAATGGCGACTACCTATGAAGAAGGCTTGGGAACAGTTCGGCTCGAAATTCTAGAAAAACCATGCTCAACCAGTCTTAACCATGTCAAATGGAAGAAGGCGGTAAGTGCTAGACTAGGAAACGAATCCATAGATGAATCCCGAATATTTCTATAAATGAGAAAAGTTCCTAGACAACGAAACAGGTGGAGGAAGTAGTGAGATTGGTACTCCAGATTGCAGATGTTATATAAGTAAATCGATATCATGATCGATGACTCTACTTAGGAGCTGTATGCTCCCACAGAAATGTTGAAACGAATAACAGAACAATAGATTTTATGCGCTCAAAATTTCAAAATAACAACACAATAAACCAAATGAGAACGTTGTTTCAACTATTTATTGAGTACTGTTAGCGGTAGTTCGATTTCAAGAGGTGCTGATGGATAACTGATTAGTTTCCTCCATGATGAACAACAAACACAACCGCATAGTTGTGATAGACATTCACCTGAAAGCATCGACAGACTCAGAATTTAACAAGTATCCAGAAAACGAGTAAAAATTTTTTCAAGCGAAAATAAGAATAAAAGGAAGAAAGGAAGAGAAAGAAGAGCACGTTCTGAGCTTACCACGACGATGATCGTAGTCGTTAAACGCAAGCATCCCTATCCACTTATATCCAAATGGTCCACTCTGCAGCTTGATCTTGAGTTTCAGGCTTCTGTAAACAATTAGACTTCTATTTTTTCTCCTCTTTATTTAGCAAGGAAAGTAGAATTTACGATAAAGTCTTTCAAAGCAATGAATATCATTGAAATTTCACAACACACGTTGCACGACTACTTAGCTACAGCTAATAAAGTGATTAATAGTTTTCTTCGATAGTTTCAATATTTTGGCGGTATGTATATGCACCTCGGCTGCCTGTGTTTGTTGCTTTTTGAAATAATAGAAGCAAGTGGTAATTTATCGATCTCTATGAGGAAAGATCGCAGTCATGTTAACCGGAGAGCCAATCCCAACTTGTTACACATTCTCACAAGTAGCGGTGAAGGATAGATACCGTAATCAAAAGGGACCTCGAAATAACTCAAAATCAATATACTACACTTAGGAGTTGGTTGTCTCTTCTCCATGTCAAATAGGCTTTGGTTCGAGCACATGTATGAAATGTATTTGGATTCTGCAAAATCTTTGCAAGCAACTCAAAACGGGAATCACCTCGTAAATAACGAGAAGGAATGGAAGGTATGATATCTTACAATTATCGGCCAAGAGCAATCGAGTGCACACCACTGCTCGTTCGGTGATTTTGTCACTTATTGGCGCGTGTAAAATGTTCGTCGTCGACTCCTTTGTGTAACGGGAAGATTCCCGAGGAACTGACTGAACGAAAAGGCACTGTGCAACTGAAAAGGCTGCAAAGCCGAAACCCGTGTACTGCACTGTATAAGTGCCCGTAACAAACCACATGCATGGCCCGAAAATAACTATCAGGCATTTCGTAAATAGTTCAGAAATTCTTCGACAGTTATGCGACATGTCTTTGTTCGAAAGGAAGGTAAGAAACACTCTGATGTTGACATATCTGACCCTGATCAATGCGTCTTTAGGTAAACTGGTGAACATATTCTCATGGGAAAGCAAGCGTAAAGGACCTGAAATCTGAGGAAATATCAGAATAAGGGAAAACTACACGGAATTCGGTGTTTCTAGAGCAACCGACATTAACAAGCGACATGTTGAGAAAAACGGATACCATCAATGTCATGTGTTCTAGGGACATAAGAAAACCTTACCTAGGCTAGTTTGAGTCGGTCTATAAAAAACGAAGTAAAGAAAAAGCATAAGAAGTTGAAGCTGGCCTTAGATGAAGATCGTTCAGATTCTGTCGTTGAAACGTCGTGCTCCAGTTCCACTGAGTTTCGGCCAGTTCGAGTCGAATGCTCCCGCTCTTCCGTCGTACCATCTGTTTTTCGTTGAAGTACAGCTTTCTTAATATATTGCCCATTACTTTACCTTGATACCAGTTAATCAATTATTAATACGACGAAAAAGTCAAATGCTGGACAGTTGATTTATCATTTTATACCTCATGTCTATATCTCCCAGGTACTATTAATATTATTACTTGACCTGTATTTCGTTGACCCATATGGGAACAGGAAAGGGGCATAACTAGCCCAAGCACATTTCAGGACAAGGTTACAATCGTTCAATTCATCGCACTTATGCCGATTAACCTACGACCATGTTGCTGTACACGTTACATGTGACATAATTCGGTATTGATTGATCTAGGTAAAAGAATTTAGTGGATCCCCAAATTCATTCATTGTACAGTGTTTGTCATTTCTAGTTATAAATACTTGAGTAGTGCTAGTGTCGATTTATTCACTATTGACTTTGGCTGCTCTCTTTGAGTAAGTAATAGCAAATATCACAGTTGTACTCGGTCAACAAAATTTTTTCAACGATGGAAAATAAAGCTACATAATAATAGATGAGACGAACGATGATGAAGCTGAAGTGTTATAACTCTTAAGTGCCTTGTTAACAATGTTCTATACCACACATTTTGTCTCTTTTCGTATTTAATGCTTTCTTTTTGGCCTCTCAAAAAAACAAGAACGCTGTCGATCCTGACTTGTTATTATTATGACAAACTGGCCGATTGTTAAGTAAATATAACATTGATGTTGTTCCGACAGGCGATGCGTTATGTGCTCAACTTCAACGGGGACGATTTGTACATGATCAACTAACAGAAAACGATAGTTATACAAAAATGAAAGTATCAGAGATGCTAATTTCAAAAATTGGATGCGACTTTAACTCTTCACTCAGTACATATCGATTATGACATGCATAATACAAACTGTGTCTAGTGCTTTCTTTAGACCACGCTCAAATTTCAAAATGCCTAATAATTATTTTTGAGCGATGCATGTGCTCTGTTATGGGTACTTATACAATGCAACACACGTGTCTCATCTTCGCAGAGTCGTCAGTTACACGGTGCTTTATCGTTCAGCTTGTTCCTCGGGATCTACCCCATACATAGAGGAGTCGACGACAAACGTTTTACACACACCGATAAGTGACAAAACCACCAAACGGGCAGTGCTGCACACTCGACTGTTCTTGCTGGTAATGGTATGATATTCAGCGCAGAGCAATCGAGTGAACAATACTGCACATTTGGTGATTTTATCACTTAGCAGCGCGTGCAGATATTACGTCTGCGATTTCTTTAACTTAGGGGATCCTGCCTCAAAAGGGATTGGCTCAGACGAACGGCACCGTGCACCTGACAAGGCTGCAAGGCCGAAACACATGGATTGCACTGTATAAGTGCCCATAACAGACCATACGCATGGCTCAAAGATAGCCATCGGGCATAACCATGTAAATTTTCAAAAAGCGCCTAATTCTGGCATTACAATATCACAGGGTAATTCCCAAAATCGGCTATCATCGATCTCGCGCTTATGGCTCACCAAGCCATCCATCCCTCCGGGGTCGGTAAATTGGTACCAGACTGGTCTTAGACTTGTCCGGGAGGATAAGCAGCACCGACTCGGTTCAGCGGGAGGCCTCCGCGAGTCTTTGTAAAAGCCAGAATTGCATTCAATGACCTCAAACGAATTTAAAAATTGAAGACGAGTTCACGGCGCATCCCTCAGGGATTGATCAGCTCCGAGAGCTTTATCCTTTTTTTATCCAATATTGACAAATAATTCTATGCTTTTAGAAGATCAACATAATGTTTTTACCCCTTTGACGACTAACCTATCACAGCATGGCTGGTCATCGCATTATTGTCAGCACTGATTTAGTAATCAGGAATTAGTTAAGACGGGGTAAAATGGTTCTTTGAGGTCTATTATGGCATTTATATAGTTGTTAGACGTACATTCCGGCCTTTCAGACTCATCAGTAGCACGGCGCCTTTCGTTTGAGCCAATCCATTGTAAGGGACATAGCCCCTACATACAAAGAAATCAGCGACGAAGATGCTATGTTGC